AAGAGAATTTATCGAAAGTATACGTATGCTCGCCAACTGCTCTTTCTGGGAAGTTTACTTTTTCCCAATTATTTTATATTCTGCAGAAAAGAAAACTTATGCCGGTTTACATCCTGACTCCTTAAAGGCACAAAGAAACCGACTGTGACGGTGAAGCGGATAAATACACACAGGCGATAGCTATAATATGAAAATCTTTGGTTAAAATCTCAAGAAATTGCGGATTTCCTCAGCGTCCGACTGAAATTCCCGACCAAGAGATATCAACCAATCAGAGCACCGAGCGCATTTTGTTTTCCTCCATGCCACCGATTCGTCCGCTAATTGGCCCGGGCACAGCCATTTAACGCATGGCGCAATTTCCTTCCCCAATTGGTTGAAATAACCCATGCTCGGATTAAGGGCTCATGTACTGCTACAGGGCCCTTTTCGGAAGGCAGAATTACACAATTTTGTAAACGGTGCAGCGCGTGGATGTTTCAAGTACCGAACTCAGTTGATCTGAGGGCTTACTTACCAGAAGCCTCGAGACAAGCCATTGCCGACAGCCCCCTCCCAACTTCCTATTCTCCCGCACTCAGCTGCCCTTCAGCCCATGACCTGCTCTGTGGCTGTACTGCTTCCCCCTACGTCCCAGATAGACTTCCCTGGCCTACTAATTTTGCCGAGGATAATTTCCGCCCGACAACGGAAACGAGAGACTGCCTACAGTCTCAGACGTGGGACAAATACGGAACCAGTCACTGGAACGCAGCTGAACTGTTTGTGCCCTACACTGTTCGCGATCCGGATACGTCAGAAGTGCATCTAACTTCCTCTTCCTCCCCCGACGTCCATTCTAATGTCCTATTTGATAGCACAGTCACCTCGCCGCCGGAGGAAAATGCTTCCGGAACCTCTACGTTGCCCCCGAGATCCTCTAGCCTTCTGCCCGTGCTGGGCTCCAGTCAAGCCAAACCTCCCTATTCCTACATCAGCCTTATAACCATGGCGATCCAGTGTTCGCGTAGCCGGATGTGCACCCTCTCCGAGATTTACGGTTTCATTACCAATTTGTTTCCCTATTACCGACAGAACAAGCCACGCTGGCAGAACTCTATTCGTCATTCCCTCTCCTTCAACGACTGCTTTGTCAAGGTGTCACGGGGACCCGACAAACCGGGCAAGGGCTCCTTCTGGACCCTGCAT